AGGGAGCCCGATGCGGGGCTCGATCCCAGGACCCCGGGATCATGACCTGAGCCGAAGGCAGACGCTTAACCATCTGAGCCACCCAGGCGCCCCAGGCCTTTGCATTTTTGCCCAGGACACTTATTTAACTCTATTTTCATGGGTACCAGTAACATTGTTTATTATGATAGGAACTTCAGTGTTGTACCTCTATTTTAAAAGAACTTTAAATAAGTGTGCTCCGCAGGATCATGTATGCAATGTTTCTGCCTAAAGAAGCCAATTACAGACTCAGGACCCAACGTTTATATTTGAGGCTGGCATGTAGGCATCCTCTGCCTACCAACTACTAAAATCACAGAATTCCAGAAGGAAACAAATCCGCCATACATCATCATGTTGTTTATATAAATGTAAACACTGCAAACTCATCTTGTCATTTAGGGGACAGCTCAAGTGTCAAGTTCCCAAATGCCAACCGAGGACCAACCTTGTCAGCATGTCCTTCTAAAGATGGCAGCCTCAGGCCAGCTGTGCTCACTCTTTTCTGCCCAGGAACACAAGAATAACCCATAAAAGACACTAACATTCTTAAACTCATTTTCACAGCAGTTTTACATTTAAATTACCTTTTGTTATTCCATAAAAAATTTACAAACCATTTTTAGACAATTTTATCACATTCCCAAAGATGTACATTTTTACCTAATTTTTTAAAGAGGGAGGGATACTTTGGTGAGAATTGCTATTTAGGATTGCAAATATCCAAATTTTTACATGAATAAAATAGCAGGCCAACCCAGATGTACATACCGTGTTGAGTATATGATCAACATAGAGGGAAGCAAAGGCACTTTCTTAAGGGCTACCTGCTGCAAGAGATCCCGAGATTCACCAAGGAGGGAATCTGATTTTGCCAAAATCCAAAGGGGCTTTTTGGACCCAGTTGGAGTATTTTTTTTTTTTTAAATAATATCTGTGACGCGTTGAAGTGGCCCTATGTGTGATTCTAGGATCTTTCTACTTTGCATTTACATGGGAGCTGATGAGAGGATATTGTTTTGTATATCCAGGTAGCACCTGTCTCCAGGCAAGAGAGGTTCTTCTGCCAGAAGGCTCTGTGTGCCTCCAGCATTTGGCCTTCACTCTCAATTTCACCAAGGACTGCAGAGCTTAGCCACCCTCCATTGTGGCAGTTTTTCATCTAAGACTTCATTCTTTTCCTCCCCATCCTGAGCCCAGGAACAATTTCACAAGACCTTCTCTGACTTTGTCCTTCTTTCTCTAACTGTATCCTTCAGCTTGTTGGAGTCCAGGCTGTGCATTATCAGAGATGGGGGACACCTCCAGCATGGCTGAGGCTCACATTTATTCTCTGCAACCCCAATAGCCTGGTTCCTCTCCTAAGCTCCTCACACCAGATCTTCTGATACCTTACTGACCATATTGGATAGTAAATTTTTCCCACTTATCGATATTAACCACTTAACATGCTCTCTAATTTTCTATCATACAAAGAGGATGAGGAAAATATAGCCCCCATGTTCTTTACCATTTCTGAAGCCAAGTTCCTAAATGAAATGAAACCACTTTTTGCTTGATGAGGTATGTACATAATGGCAGATACCCTCTATTTCAGTATATAAAGGCCACCTTCACCTAAACAAAATTAAAATAATTTTTAATATTTTAGTTGTTAAAATATTTGCAAATTTAATAGTTACCTATTTTACCTGTTACTGACAATATACAAATAGAAGTTGTAAATGGAAACTACTTTCCATATACCAATAGAAGTTTCCACTCTTGATTTAATACATTTGATTTTCCACTTAAAGTAGAAATTCATTTCTAACTCTATCTCTAAATAAGTTTCTACCTTTCAAAATAACTAGATTGTTTAGAACACAAAATTTAAAGGCCAAGTTGCCTGTAAAAGATTTAATACACATACTTCAAAACAGAACTACTTAGTTAAAAGTATAAACAGAAGCTGGGGGAATAATAGTCTTTTAAACAAATGGTACTGGGATAAATGGATATCCACATGCAAAAGACTTAATTTGAACCCCTTCCTCACATTGTATACCAAAATAACTCAAAATGGAGCAAAAACCTATAGCTGAAACAATAAAACTTTTAGAAGAAGACAAAGGGGTAAATCTTTGTGACCTTGGCGTAGGCAATGGTTTTCTTATCTTAGCTAATACACCTAAACCACAAACAAGAAAAGAAAGAAAAAAAAAAAGTGGACTTCAATTTGTATAACTCAATAGCAAAAAATAAGAAAATAACCCTATTTAAAAATGGGCAAAGGAGAATTAAGAGTACAACTTATCATGATGAGCACTGAGGAATGTACAGAATTGTTGAATCATTGTATTACACCTGAAACTAATATAACACTGTATGTTAGCTATACTGGAATTAAAATGTAAAAAATAATTAAATACAAATGGGCAAAGGACCTGAATAGACATTTCTCAGAAAGATACACATATGGCCAAAAGGTATTCAACATCACTCATCATCAGGGAAAGACAAATCAAAACCACAATGAGAAAACCTCATATCCATTAGAACAGTCTTTATCATAAAAACAAAAGACAACAAGTGTTGGTGAGGATGTAAGCTGGTGCAGCCACTATGGAAAACACTATGGAGGTTCCTCAGAAAATTAAAAATAGAACTACCATATAATCCAGCTAACCTACTTCTGAATATTTTGAATTGAAATTAGAATCTCAAAATAAGATTTGCACTTCCATGTTCACTGCAACATTACTCACAAAAGCCAAGACATTGAAGCAAACTAAATGTCCATTGACAGATGAATAAAGAAAATGTGGTACTTACATATAGTGGGATATCATTCAGTCTTTGAAAAGGAGGAAATCCTGCCAATTGTGGAACATGGATGAACGTGGAGGACATTATGCTAAGTGGAATAAGCCAGATGCAGAAGGACAAACATAACATGATCCCACTTACATAAGGGATCTAAAATAGTCAAACTCACAGAAGCAGAAAGTAGAATGGCAGTTACCAGGGGCTGGAGTGCGGATAATGGCAAAGGTACAAAGTTTCAGCTATACAAGGTGAACAAGTCCCAAACTGAAGGCTGTCTCATACTTGTCGGAGTCAAGACCACTAAAAACTTTCTAGCAGGACTTCGGATAAATTGGCCTAACTGAATGGGTGATTTCAATTGAAAATTCAAATGAACCAAGCAATCTTACCATAAATTACCTAAACTACCAGAGATTCAAAACAAGCACTTAATTTTAAAAAGTAATTTGTACACAAGCACTTGGAAACTTTTTGGCAGTATCTACTAAAGCTGAACGTGCATACCCATCGACATAGGAATTACTACGCCTATGTTTATACCCCAGAGAAATGCATATAAATGTTTAGGGAAAAAACAGGTACAAGAATGTTCATAGCAGAACTGTTCTCAAAAGTCCAAGACAGAAACTACCCAAATGTCCATCAATTACAAGAGATAGATTATGGTATATTCACACAATGTAATACTATACAGCAACAAGAAGTAGAAAGCTACAACCAACACAACAAAATGGATGAATCCTCAAACAATGTTGAACAAGAGAAGCCAGACACAAAATAATACAGAGTGCCTGATTCCATTCATATGGTATACAAAGGCATGCAAAAATCACTTATGCAATATTGTATTTACATGTAGGTTTATGTAGTAACTAGAAGGGAGTACTAGGGAGGCTTCTGGGGTGCTGGTAATTTTCTCTTTCTTGTTCTGAGTGAAAATTCATCAAGCTGTAAACTTACATATACATTTCTGTATTTATATTCACTTCAATAAAAAGTTTTTAAATATTTAATATTAAAATTCTAGATATTAACAGCAGACCAGACATGGCTAAAGAAAGGATTAATAAAATGGGAGAGAGTGCTGAAGAGATTACTTAGAATGTGGCAAAAAGGGATAAACAGATGGGAAATGTGAAAAACAGAGTAAGAGACACAGGAGGAAGGTCTAATTGGAATGCCAGAAAGAGAAGAGGGATAGAATGGGGCAGAAGCCATACTTGAAAATGTAGTGGGCTGAACTGTGTTCTCCAAAAAGATATATTCAAAGTCCTAAAACCTGATTCCTATGAATGTAACCTTATTTGAAAATAAGATCTTTACAAAAAATCAGGTGAAGTTGAGGTCATACTGGATTAGGGTGGGCCCCAAATCCAGGGGCTGGTGTCCTTATAAGCAGAGGACACACAGGGATAGAGGATACACATAAAGAAGCCCATGTGAAGACAGAGACCGAGATTGGAGTGACACAGCCTACAAGCCTAGGATCCCCAAAGATTGCCAGCAACCACCAGAAGCTAGGAAAGAAATCTGGGATGGTTTCCTCCCTAGAACCAGAGGGACCATGGCTCTGACGACACCTTGATTTTGGACTTCTAGCCTCCAGAACTATGAAAGACTAAGTTTTTGTTGTTTTAAGCCACAAAGTTCATGGTAATTTGTTACAGCAGCAAGACACCAACCCACGACTCAGGAAGTTCAACATTCCCAAAGCAAAATAAATACCTAGTCAATTCAATAAATCCAACAGCAGGCAATAAAAGAGAAAAAGTAGCATGAATAAAGCAAATGGACTGAAAGTACAAAATAATTCCAATTCAATAGTGATTAAAATAAATGTAAAACAACTAAATGTACCAGTAATAATCAAAGATTATCAGCCTGGGTATAAAAAAGAATCAACAAATCTAAATGAAGCCTATTTATAAGAGACACGCCTGACATATGAAGGACTACAACTCAACAAGACAAATGTCACAAAGGCAGATACTTAACAGAAGAGAAAACATGAATAGCTAAGAAACATGAAAAAGGAGCTTAGGGGAGAATAGGGAGTGTTTGGGTAGGGCAGCTGAAAGGGAGGGGGGAGGAGGAAGACTAAATGAGGAGCCTACTGGAGACTTAAAGGTAATGTACCTTTTAAACATTAAATGGCAGGCAGTGGATGTTAATCAAAAAATTTTATATATCTAGCAACAGACATTTGGAAATCCTCTAGTTCAAACTGCTTATAGTCCAAACTAGAGATGAGGAAGCTGACTTTTTAAAAGATTAAATGGTTCTTCCAAAATGACAAAGATACTACAGTGGTTTGTTTTTCTTTTTTCTCTCCCTGATATACTGAATTATTTCCCTTTTCTGCACTTCATTCTTCTTAATGAAGCAATTGTCCAAAATAGTTTCACATAATAGTATAAATGCAGCTTTCCAATCACACTGAAGAACTCCTGAGTTCTTCTCCTCACCACCAATCAGGAACCTTTACTGGAAGCTTGTTCCTGATTGGTTGAAGTCAGCTGTAACAGTAGAATGCCAAGGAGTAAACAAACAAGCATAGCAACAACTGAGTTTGCTGTCTCACTACTCTCAGCCTGGGCCACCCTGGACTCCTTCATCCCAAATGAGGTGGCCTCTACATTTTATATGAAGGCTTTGATTTTCCATTCAACTGTGATCCATCTTATAACATGGCAAAACAATACAGACGGGAAGATAAAACTGAACAACACAACTAAAATAAAGTGTATTCCCAGGTAAAAGAGACAGATGCTTTAATCTGAAATGAATGAGTGTCATGAGCTTCAGTTACAAGGCAAAGTACCAGTGCACAAGAACTCTATGAGCAGGGTCCCCAATTCCTGCTAGTGGCAGGTGTGGTAGGTGACATAAGCCACTGCAGATGTGAACTCACAGCCAGAGAGGACTTGCAAATGGCTCTCATCATTCATCCCATGCTGTGCCTCTCGTAGCTACGGATGGCCCTGGTTTCCTCAGAAAGAATGTGCACATCCCAGAGCTGGTAGTTTGCTGCCCTATCCCCAGGCAAATGCGGGGAGGTTGCTTTTTATAACGAGTGCCAAGGGAGAATGGAGTCTTTTTGCATTTTTTCTGGAAGAAGACATTTCTACTATCTTGTTTTTTATTCATGTTTACAGAATACACATTGTGGAAACAGGATGAAGTTGACCAGTGAGAAGTTGCCCAAGAACCCCTTTTATACCTCTCTATTCCAGTATGGTGCTAAGAACCCAAAAGTCTTCCAATGGAGGAAGGAAAAGACTGGTACAAATTCTGATAATATTCTCACTAAAAGTCAATTCTGTACACCAGAGAAAAAAAGACAAGAAATAGGAGTCTGAACTGCTGTCGAGGAAGTGGTTAACTTTACAGTCCTTTTTAGCTTTCCTGTAAGAATCTGAGAAATTGCTGCTCGTCTGGTAGCAAATCATCAGTGGAGAAGTCTCATCATTAGATTCCAATCCTGGTTTTACTCTTAGGACTTTAGGACACCCTTCTGGAAAAGAGAAGCCAGATGTCATTTCTATTAAAGAAAACAATGCCATACTTTACTTCAAATTGGCATTTAAAGCTACCCTTTTGTTTCTATAGACTTACTAATACTAAATTGGGAATGGTTACTAGCTCATTTGGTTGGAGTAGTTCTAATTAAAGCTCAAATTAAGAATTTCACTAATCCACAGGGTAGCTTTGCATAAAGAACTACCCACAGACTGCATTGCTAGAGCTCCTGCCTCGTAGTAAACAGGGTTGGTTTGGGAACCAATCAACACATATTTTATGATTATACAAGGCACGGTGTTAGGTGCAGTGATCATGTTTTTCCCTTGAGCTAAGGAGGCCAGTTTTATGAATGAGAACTAGGAAGGAAACTAGTATAAACAGAGCCAGATGAGTTCTATATAATTCATGACTTCAAGAGAGGAAATTCGTATCGTATGAATAAAGATGGAATTCTTTACCTTTTAAAAACCAGATCGTTACAGCCATGCGAATTTGTTGGATAAGGCATTGCAGCTCTTGAAGGAAAGAATAAGAAGAGGGGATGCTATGGCATATTTCCTCCGAGGCCAACTATATTTTGAAGAGGTATCATTTCCTGCTTGTTTTCTTTTAAAAAATTTTATTTAAATTCAATTTAATTAACATATAGTGTATTATTAGTTTCAGGGGTACAATTTAGTGATTCATCAGTTGCATAGAACACCCAATACTCATTACATCAAGTGCCCTCCTCAATGCCCATCGCTCAATTACCCCCTTCCCCTCCAGTAACCCTCAGTTTGTTCCCTAGAGTTAAGAGTCTCGGTTTGCCTCCCTCTCTGTTTTTATCTTATTTCATTTTTCCTGTTTTTCATATCATATAATGCTGTTGTTGGATTCTCATAGCAAAATTTCCCATAGAGTTCCTTACATTGTTATGCAGAGGGAATTCTGGTAAATTCCCTAGGCTTTGGTTGTGGCTTTAAGTACAAGATTGAGGAGATATTTGACCTTCCTCCATAAAAGTCGTTCTAAGGAGTCATTTATAGGAGTCATTCTGGCATATAATCCATTCTCATACTAGAAATTAAAAATATAATGTACACTTATATATATAATATAATTTTTATATTTTTGCCCCAAATAATATCATTTATAAAATTTTTTCAAATGAATAACAACTAAAGACCCTGATTCTTACCTAGTACTTAGAGGCTTTATATGTTCCTCTCTAGAGGTAGGAGGGAGCTTCCCTCTTTCTCCACATTATGCTGAGGCATCCTGAGGGGCAGATATAGGAGAAACTGTGCAAAGCATATAATATATATAGCAGCAATCCTTCATTGACCCCCACGGGCAGATGTGAAAATGGACCAACTGTCCCCAATCCCTTCACCACTCACTATTTGGGCAGCTATTAACCTATATCCCACTTGCTCTTAAATCTGATGGCGCCATCATTTCTTCTGGCAACAAATATTTGTTGAGGACTCATCATGCACCTGTCACCATGAGGCTAGCATAGGTTAAGAGAATGATCTCTCAGCTTTGGGCATCGGGTCAGGTATGATTCCTACGACTTGTTAACTGTGTAGCCTTGAACACAAAGACTTCAACTCTTAGAGTCTCAGTTTCTTCAAAAGGCAACGAGCAGGGCACACAGCCCGGTGTAAGTGCATTCCAGGCAGGGGGAGAAAATGCAATGTTTCAGAGATGAGGGGGAGCTCTGTGAGCTCTAGGAATTGAGACCAATGTGGTAATAAGCAAGGCAGAGAATGGCTTTAGATGAGCTTTGTTTAAATTGTAGTAAGAAGACATCCAAGGGTTTTGAGTCCGTGATGAACAGATTAGAAGGCAAGCATGGAACCGAGACCAGTTTAGGGGAGAAATCATACTACTTCAGGCAAGAGAGGATGCTTGCTGGTGTTGACCAGAGTGGCAGCAGTGGAAGCTGGTCCTGGATTTATTTTGGAGGTGCAAATGAGAGCATCATGGACTGAAAAACAGAGGAGTGGGGAGGGTGAATTTTGAGAGGACAATCAAGAGTTCAGGTTTTATACACATTGTGTTTCGGATGTCCATTAGTCATCCAAGTAGACAGGTTTCAAAGTAGAAACTTAGCCATTAAGAGTCTAGATCTCCAAAGAGAAGTATGGGTTGAAAGTATATATTTGAGATTTTCCAGCATGTAGATTGTATTGAAAATCATGAAAACTAACAGGACCTCCTTTCTCTTCCTTCCTACAGCGTATTCTAACTTTTCCAGCTCTCTCACATCTAGCCAAACATTAGCCAGAAAGGAGAATGAGTCTTAACAGCTAGGTCATTAACTCATTATTATGTGTTCTTTAAAATTAATATTTCTTAGTATTTTGGTGCAGTTTTTATTTTATCAATTTGTTGATTCATTATAGTTTATGAAAAAAGGAATTCGGGTGCTTTTGTGTCTTCCAGAAGTTGTTTTTCTCTGGTCTGCTCTTCCTAAGTAATAACCTTCCAGTTCAGTAACAGACTTTCTTTCCACGATTACAAAGGATTTAGTCTTCAGTGCAAGGCATTTTCCCTGGTGGATTAAGATATAAGCCCCATTAGTCCTTCAC